ATTTGTCTCATACAAGTCTGTTGTACATATCTGTTTTTGTGGATGGAAAGGAATGGAGTGCGTTAGTTGACAGCGGAGCAAGCGTCATGGCTATTAACGCAAATATTGTTGAGAGGGCGAAAGTGAAAGAGGGAAGACCAGTAGAAGTACACGGATACGATGGAAGACGAGATGTTCACGATAAACGGACTTGTATAACCATATCGTGTCTCGGCAACACTGTCACTGCGCAAGCACTGGTACCCGACGGAGTTCCGTATGAACTACTGCTTTCACGTCCAGTCATCAGTGCACTTCGCCTTAATATCTACTGGACAGGCGAAATTACCACAGAAGTGCCGCGCTATCAACGCTGCAGTTTCGCTTTCAAGGACTCCGCGGAAACCATCGTCGGGTGAAGATGTTAGGATGCTTTACCCGGAATTGCTGTGCCTAAAAGGATATCCTACAGCAACTACAAAGTTTGAGGTTCCATTTCAGCTCAGTGATACGACGGTGGTGAGAAAAAAAGCCCTATAATATGTCACGAGAGAAGAAAGTGTGGCTTCAGAACGAGATTCAAAAGATGTTGAATGCGCAGACTATCCGTCCATCCACGTCTACGTTCGCTTCACCCATCACCATTGCACCAAAGGAAGATGGAAGGTCTTCGACTCTGCACGGACTACAGACAAATTAATAAGCAGACTGAGCTTTTTCCGTTTCCTATGCCACGTATAGACTCTATCATAGATGACACGGGTGGCTGCAGAGTTTTCTCACGCATTGACCTATATAAAGGATTTTGGCAAGTTCCGATTTCTGAAAAGTGCAAGAAATATTCTGCCTGCCTTCGTCACGCCCTTTGACATCTATGAGTATAACCGACTTCCATTTGGATGGAAGAACTCACCCGCTTGGTTTCGGAAAATGATGAACGACGTCTTGCGGCCATTTATCGGGAAGTTTTGTAACGTCTACATAGACGATATAATAGTATACTCCCGCAACGAGGAAGAGCGCTCAAACCATCTGGCTAGTGTACTTCAAGCACTTTGTGACGCCGAGCTCAAAGTTAATGACAAGAAGAGTGAATTTTTCCAAAGTAAAGTGGTGTTTCTTGGAAGAGTATTCGACGGCCAAACCAAGACAACAAAACAGGAATCAGTCGAACGAATCGCAAAAATACAGAAGCCATATGACTTGCACTCTTTGCGGGTATTTCTGGGTCTTGCAGGGCATTTCCGGCTATTCATTAGAGATTATGCGACCAAAACCAAATGCCTCACAGAAATGACTAAGAAGAATGTGCCATTTCAGTGGACAGCAGAGTGTGAATCTGTTTATCACAGCCTTGTGACCATTATTTCATCGGATCCGGTCCTGATTCTTCCAGACTTCAAGTTGCCCTTTGAATTGAACACCGATGCTTCTTATTATGGCACAGGCGCAGTGCTTTACCAGAGATATACCGACTCTCCACGGAGCCGTCAACAGAAGGTCGTCGGGTACTATTCGTACTCCTTTTCGAAAACTCAGCTGAACTACACGACTACAGAGAAGGAAGCCTTGGCAGTCTTAATGGTTGTACGCTATTTTAGACCTTACCTGAATGGCAGGAGCTTCAAGCTCTTTACGGATCACCAAGCCTTAAGGTATGTCTTAACCTCGCTGAGCCTCGAGGAAAAATTGCTAGGTGGGTGAGTGAACTCCAGCAGTTTACTTTCATGGTCCACCACAGGCCTGGAGAACACCTCAAGACGCAGATGCGCTTTCAAGACTTGCGGTAATTCCTGATCATAAAAATGTCAACACAACATTGTTGTGGCAGGGAACTGAAGAACTTAAGTTCCATAACGAAAAGTTCACAGTCCCAGAAACAATGGGGCTTCGAATTTTGGAGCTCTATCACGGACTCCCCGCACTCAGGTGGACATGATGGCTTTCGGAGGACATATCACAAGATTCGTCAGCGTTTCCAGTGGAAACACATAAAAGAGGACGTTCAACAGTATGCTCAGTCTTGTCATCAATGTCAAGTTCACAAAGCCAAGTACCTTCAGAGAACAGACGAGATGGTTTTGCCTCAACATTACGACATACCATTTGAAGTCATTCATCTGGATTTCGCAGAGCTCAAGAAGAAGGCTGCAGGAGTAAGAACGCAGTCTTTCCTAGTGGCAATAGACCAGTGCACAAAAATAGTGGCTGCACGGCCGGGAAGGGAAGACGCAAATAGTGTGATCGCTCTTTTGAGTCGAGAGATGTTCAAGAATACGAAAATAGTAATATCAGACAATGGGCCAGCGTTTCTCAGTCAGCGTTTGCAAGATTGGGCGAAGGAACGAGGAGTTGTATTGCGACGCTGCGCTCCGTACCATCCTGCAGGAAATGGCATGGCTGAAAGAATCATTCGGGATTTGAAGCAGTTCATTTCAATGTATCCAGGTTTTCAAGGGTGGATGGAAGTGCTGCTTGGAGGCAGCTGTCGCTCATCACAATCGGTCGCACACTGCGAGCATCGGCTGTAGCCCATATTTTGCAGCTTTCAGAAAGGTACCAGTGCTTCCTGCTGATCAAAAACTTTGCATTGCAGACCGCCTGCAATTGTGGGAAAAACGAAAAACTTCGGAAGCCTACGAGCGATACAGGGAAAGTATGAAGAGGAACTTTGACCGTCACCACAACATGCGGATACCTCAGATACAACGGAACGATCTGGTGCTTGTCAGAAAAGGCCTTCCCGGCACAAAGCAGGTGCACATGGGACCTTATTGCGTGGTGCAGATCGCAGTGCTACATGGTGTTCTCAAAAGGGTCGGTTACACCAACGACGATAGTGTGCTGGAGTTTTCGACCATTGGAAACGTTTTCATGTATCACCCCAGGAGGAATGAGTCTTCAAAGAGGGGCAGTGTACGTGGACGTGAGGCAGAGTTGGAGGGAGATCAGTAGGAAGGAGAGGTTAGAAATAAAGAAGATGGCTGACACCCCAGCCTAGTACTGTGTATTATTACATCCAATAGACTTCATTTTCATGCGTGAACAACTTTTCTGACTGTTTGATTTATTAAACTATTTTGCAGACCCCACCAGGTCTGGAAAATTGGTGTACAGTGACCGACGGTTTAGTATTTGGACACCGAGAATTCAGATACGCTCATTTATTTGGGCACCTTTGTGGTGCTGTCACTTGTCTCAGTGAATCAACGTACAGTAGACTTCTTTTAAACAAAATCTGAAGGAACCATGAAAATATGTTTCTTTTAAGAGGAGTTTTCTTTACTGAGAGATAAACAGGGGTATATAGTCAAGTACGAAACCAAACATATTAGTGGAAGTTGTTCCATTTAAGCATGCAATTTCATTTAAGAGAGTTTTGTTTAATAGGAGTTTACTGTAAACTAATGACCAAAATTTTGGATGCTGCGCAGTGCGCTGCCTTATTTTTCGGACTCTGACAGCATGATGGAGTGCGATGTTGTGAACACCATGACTACATGTCGGCAATGTGTACGACATTTGTGCTCAGTTGCCAGTACTGAAAAGTTGCACTGGGTATGGCTGAGAGTCGTGCCATTGTCAAAATCCACATGGAAATTACAGTTGCTAATATTGAAGGCTATGCTTTTTGGCTCCATGTTATGGTTTAGCCAGTCAAGTATTCATCGAATGGCTACAATGACCAAACCACAGGACAAGCCAAGCCATATTCAAAGTCAGCTGGGTGTGACGTTTCAGGGTTTGTGTTACAGTGAACTAGTACACTGTTTTTGTGTTATTGTTTCTGTGGCTTGACCAGATTTGCATCTCGTGCTTTGTGTGTCGCCCTGTTGTTGGTTGCTTGGCGTGCGAGGCCTTAATTGTGCCGAAATGGCCCTTTATGTCACCAATTTTCCTCTTTGCCATCGAGGCTAATGAAGACATGGGGCGACTACACGACAGTGACGATTGTGAAAAAAACAGGGATTGTTTGACAGGTCGAAGGTGGCCGACTTGAATTGTGATGCTGCTCAGGAGTGCTGTGGAAGCTACAGAACTGAAATGCATGCTTGCAACCATCCCCAAATATAGTACTTAAGTTTACTGGCAGTTTTCTTGTTAGCTTGCAGAGTTAAATACTGCTTTGTTCACCATGAGGCTCAAACAGTTGTGGGAAGTAGTAGGTAATATACAGTCATTGTTGACCTTTGCAAGAGCGCCTTCTTTTTCTTTCCATTTCTTAGCATCATCTTTTCAGCTCGTCCATTGACCCAAGTAAACATGGCAGTCCGTGACTGTGGTGGGTCAGTGTGCAGATGCAAGCGTACTGTTCAGTTTTCTAAGAAGACTGTACTCATAATATGACAGTGAAATATACATTGAACTATCAAAATGCCTCTCTTATTCACATTTTTCGGTATATATGTTATTCTAAATGTGTTAATAATGATGTGAGCAAGTGGAACCGAAATCAGCCACAAGCTGACTTACGGAGCATAAAAATGTGTGGAAGCCCTGCTTCCGCAGCCTTCGCTCCACTGCCAAGTTGTCGTCGATCCTAGAACAGGCTGTAGCAGCGCTATTGTCGACTTGCAGTGACTAGCCAAATTGTGGCTGAAGTACAGGCCGACTTGGATGCACATAAGCTTGCATATGTGCAGATGCGCATTGACAAGTTTTTCCTAACCACTGGGTCAACGAAGGTGCTTTTTTCTAATTCTTGATTATTCTGACTTTTTCGGCGGTTCCCACCAAGTCCGAATGAATCGTCAGCGACTGTGATGGTTTGTGAGGGGGCACGTCATATGTATAATGATTGACGGGGTAACTTAGAATGAGTTTTGTTCCATTAACTATCTGGTTTGCAGTAATCCAGTCACCATGTGCGTCTGGTCGTTTGGTGATCTCGTTCGTAGATCAATCCAGCCACTTAATTCTGTGAAGCAGATTCGCTTGTGTAAGTGTGTATGGTCTGTGTGGACATTGAATGCCAGTTTTGAAGCATTGGGAAATGGTTGTGATGGAGCTTTTCTTGGCAGGTGCTGCTCACCGCAAGCTGTGAGTGGCTGTTGCAAACCCGAGCTGAACTGTGGGAGCGCACGGGCAAGGCCCCTGCATCTGGACCCCACATTGACGGCTTTCATCGGGATCTGGCACTGTTCCGACGGCTGGCCCAGAACTCTCCCAACCTGCAGCTAAAGGTGACCATGATGTGCAGAGACTTGTATCTCCTTCCACTTTAGCAACTTTCCAAGCTCTGTGGTTTTTTTAGGGTTCTCCCTGTTTCTTACAACAGGACACATGGGCTCCCATAATCAGAGGAGGTATTGGTGGCCTAGTTTTCTGTGAAGCAAGATGACCTGTACTTGTTTTCTTTTGTTAAGCATATTTATGGTCTTCAGCCAGCTGAGGTTAGGCACCACATGTGCGCAGATATACCGTAACCATTGATATTAGGTTGATGCAGGGGCTTCAGAGGTCTTGGCAACAGCAAAATAATAGGCCACGATTATGTCGAGAACTGCTATTGTGATAGCATGCCCAGAAGCTTAGATTAGAGTGCTGATTTGGGGTAATGAAATCGGCAATTGATCACTCATAATGCTGCTCACCACACTAGACGACTGCATTTATGAAACGTGGTAGCATTGATGTGTATTGGCTTCTGCCATCACCTTAATGCCTTTACCAGTATTTTTAAAATACTGTTATTTTTTTTGGTGGACCTTGTCATTTGATGCATTTCCAGTTCTTAGGTGAAATAAGACAGTAATTCTGCATGTTCTTTTACCTGTTTTGTCTAAGCACGGTATGCATTAAAGTTTAGTATTTCAGCTAGCTGAGCAAGCTTCTTTAATTAAAAACTGAACGTATCATTTTTGCAGTGCTAAAGTTTTTTTCCGTAGAAAAGAAATAATTGGGGTCTAGACCAGCATTCAAAGCTAGTAGTTTTTTTCAAACATTCATATTAGGTTGAATTACAAGAAACTTTCTGTTCAACAACTTCTAATGTGGAAGTTCATGTGGCGTTCCCACGCAGCTGCACCTGTACGAAGCCACTCAGCGTGTCGTCGCTGGTGCGAACCCTGTGAAGACTCAGCTGGGATTGGATCGGTGTCTGAGGAGGCGTCTTTCGCACTACCCCTCTGTCGTCTGTGCCAAGGGTAAGAGGCTATCGTCCTTCACAGTTAGACAGTGGCCTTGGTTGAAAGGAAAGATATCGCTTCAGTGATTTCACTAATGTGAGCCGTGCACGATGTAGAATGGTGTGCGCATTTAGAATGGCATCAAGGTAGTCGTCCACGCTTCACGACGTGTATGTGTTGAAAGTTATGCAGATTTTTTATATGTTGCTAGCCGCTGTGTAAGCACCCAGCTGAATTTTTTAGTTATGCCGATGTGGGGCATGCGATTTCATCATTCTGTGATATGTTCACGTGAGAAAGATGTGCATTAGAAAAAGCTGGTGAAGTTATGCATTAGCAGTGGCAGAATTCGAAATAACAGATTGTTTTTATTTGGCAATATCTGTCCTAAAATAGCAGCCACCATGTTTAAGGGGAGATGCTCCTCGAAAAACTTTTTATTGCAATATTTGTGACAGCTCAACGAAACTATCGCCAGTTATAGAGTTCAAGCTCCTCTTTTCAAATCTGCTTTTATTTTTTTATGGCTCATTTAGTTAATTTTTTGCAGACCATGCATTTGTAAAAACAATGCATTTTTGTGCAAGCTTAGGCAATAATAGTAAGCACAAGCAAGCTCTAAAAAATAGCAAATGGTGCTCCCAATGAATTGCTGAATTCAATAAAGCAAAGGAACATTGTGTAACATTTGTGTGCTGGCCTAGAAGAAAATTCTAATGCCGAGTTTGAGTTTTACCATACTCAAAGAACAAGCTTCTGAAATTATTTAGCTGAATATGCTTTGGAGACCTCTAAAAGTTCTTTATTTAAATTCAGGACATGTTGAACTTTAAGCATGCCAAGTTTCATTGCAGTCCGACTACGTAAAGCATACAAATTATTGTGCACAAGCTCAAAAAATGCCGAAAAATGAGAAACTGAGAAAAGGAGGTTTGAAAGTTCAAAAACATGTTTAATACTATACTCTTCAACCAATCTGCATGAAATTCACAGAGAATGTCAGCAAAGCTATCTTGAAAAAGTTGACAGTTTCAGGATAACCTAGCACTATACATTGGACCCTTACGGTCTCTGCAAGCTGCCTCCTCCCGGAGGGTTTTTTTTTTTTTTTTTTTTTTTTCGGTGCTGCAGCGATGAGCTGTTTCTCTCAGACTCGTGCAAGGTTATTGGCGGCGGTGTGCACTTTTTTTTTTTTACCAATGGCAGTTCTTGTGATGCACTGGTTTTTGAACACCAATGATTGCACAAAGCTGCATAAGCTGCCCGTGTCAGATGCCGATCGCATGCGGTGCGACCATTGACTTTGCGCTCACAGCGAAGCTGCCCGGTGCACTGCCACTGGGGGACGTCTACTTGCCATTACTTTAATGAACAGCTTGCACCACCCACAGTTGGGGCATACTGTGCCGCTGACGAGGTTCTGCATCGCATTGGTCTCGCAAATAAATGTGCTTCCGCGTTCGTCCTAACACTTGCTTTTGTCGTCGAACATCCTTATCTTTCATTCTGAAGCACTGACGAAGTCATCCACGCTAAGAATGAAGCTCGAACAATCCAAATCGGGTGCGTCGCTGCTGCCACGGCTAGGTCTAGCAGCAGACGAACCTCTTGCCGGCGCTCACTGCTTGTGTTTGGGGTGCCTTCCCTCGTACTGGTGCCGCGTAATGAACTTCTGTACCGTAAACAAAAGTAGCGTTTCTCGCCGGCATCCATGGCTCGGAAGTAAGAACTCAGGCGGTTGTGTTCGTAGATGTCTCGACAAAAGCAGGAGAATGTAGAAAGTGTTGTATCCGACTGCACGGCGGAATGCTCGCAACCAATGGCAGGGCTTTGATCATACCACGTCACTTCGAAGCCCCACTCGCCACGCTAGAATGCAGTGGGAGAACGATTTTTTTGTTGTATTTTTAGCATGAATGCCGCTCTTCCGAAGTGGGCTCTGAGAGAAGAGGGTTAGGCCTACATGCCCGCGAAATTTCAAGAGCCGGCGATACTGTGGAGTGAAGTGCTACGTGCGCAAAAATCGGGTAATTTCGCACTTTCACGAGCCACCGTGAGGGATTTAATTGTATTCTTCAATAACTTCTAGTTAATTCTCAGCTTTTATTTTTTAATATATTAAGGAGAAGGCTTGAAGGAATACAAAGCACAAGAAAATACAAAATTAACTTTTTCAAAAAGAAATCGCAGTTTTTTGACCCGCATCTCTCTTTAAACACGTCATCCTTTCTCTCGTCACAGGGAGCACTGAGAACGAACCGAGGAAAGAAGAGGCCGATGCTTTGCTTCTGTCCTGCAAGCACTTAGGGTCTCTTGCGAGCAGGGATCAGAAGGACGGCATGCTCGCAGAGGCCGCTAGTATTCTGGGAGCCCTGGGACACCGACGCGCCCTGCACCAATGCCAGAGACTCATGGTTGCCCCCACAGTCGCCTCGGCTGCTTGCTGAGTTGTGCTACTCTTGTCAGCAGAGTTTTATTAAATCTGTACATAGCTATATTTGAGAAGCGGTGTGATGCAGTGCTCTCATGTGATTGTACTTGCTTTTAAGCTATTTTATTAGTCGCAGCGAAGTTCTGCTGCTTGTTGTGTACATTTGTCAGATAAGTGAGGCACATCATTCTTTGCCTGTATTTAATTTTTCGAGAAATAAATCTGAAATACTGCAAAGCAGTAGAAGCCCTTTCATCTTGCATCGCTTACATGGTGCAAAGCCCCGTTTATTATCTCGCACCCATTGCAACTTACATTTCACTAGCCACAGCTTTTGTTTAAGGTGTTTGTCTGATATGTAGTGTTCACCATCTTATTCAACTTATATGTTCATACTTTGCATTGTTGCAACATGCATGTTATGAAATATTGTATATTTAATTTACTTGTGATGTGTTGAAAAGAGAAATATATACATAATTGCTGAAGGATTGCCTCTTACAGGATAGAAGTTCAGGTTAGTGACTCAGCAGTGCAGACCTCATTTTTTATTGTTATTACTATTATTGCAAGACCTCCCTTGTAATAGTCTTAATCCGGTCTGAGAGAGTACTTGAAGACATGTGACCTGGTGACAATGAGAAAGTGATGTTGAACCTAATTCAGTCTAAGGGAGTACTTGATGGCATTTGACCTAGTGACAACGAAAAAGCGATGTTGAGCCTGTGGGCTCTTTTCAGTGCTTTTGTTGATGTGCTCGATGATTCTTTAAAAAATCAAGTAATCTTACTTTCATTGGAAACATTTCATTTTATCAGCAATAAATTTTCAAGTGCTGGTACCTCAGTCTGCTTCTCTCCTCACTTTTGTTGAAGTAAGTATGCTATGTCTACATAGGCTGTGTATCCCTCGTTATTGTTTCCCAGATAAATGAGCTTGTTGCATTTTTCGGTTGCCTTTGATTTAAAGAAGAAGGTTCTGAAATGAGGTGCTGCATGTTTCTTATTTCACTAAAGCCCGATGCTTGAAAATTGATGACTATCGAGAATGTAAGGGAATTGAAGATGAAAAATAAAGTTTTTTTTTCTGTGAAGAACACAGTAAAGACCATGCATATTCTGTACATGGCTGAGTCATCTACATTTTCGGTGCTGCTCACTTCCCATCATAACACCTGTACACAAGAGGGGCCAGACCGTGGTTTTGCTGCAGTTCTGCTATACATAGTTGAAAATTGGCCAAGGAGTTGAAGGCAAGAGCAGTGCCCTGTACACTCGTGGCTTATGCACTTCATTTTGCATGTGAAACTTGGCCCAGACCAAACTACTGAAGTTTTGTCTGTGTATTGCAACACAAGGTATACATTTAGATTGTTGGCTTGTGTGCATAATTTGAGCTGTTGGCCACATATTTTTAATAACACACGACTAATGCATAGTTGTCAAGTTGTAAATTTGAAATGTGTCTCGCGCATATTCGCCCCGAGATCGGCCTATAGGGGGCAACATTGTCACCGTGCTAGTGTGGATAGGGGGCCAGCTGCGCGCATGCCAATACACGCAACGGCGCATTTTCTGAGCGTGGTGAGCCGATTTTCGGCGAATAAAATGCGTTGAATGCTACCCAGTCGTAATAAATATGCCGTTTATTGCTTAACGGATGCAGGAAGCTCACCGAATGTTACTTTTACTTGTGACAAAAACGAAGTCTGCCATTAAAAGGGATGTTCGCATTTGGCGACTGCCTGCACTTTTGCACTGCAGTGTGTCACATTTCTTATATTGTTATTTTAGGTGTTGAGCTTGCGTCCTGTATACTATGCTCTGCTGAGCATAACTAAATTCATTCTTCATGCACGCCGGTCACGAATACCAACCCCCTCACCCCCCCCCCCCCAAAAAAAAGAAAGAAATTCGATATTTTTGGGTGGTGAACCTATAGATACAGCGATTACTCATTCTGCCTTTTCGTCATAATCATTTCTTCATAGAATAAACGTAGGACAGTCTATAAGTTGATTCAAAAAAGCTACGTGGCTTACAGTGCTTGTGTGCTCTTGTTTTTACTCCTATAACAGTATAAAAAGGTAATTGTTCAGCCCGCAGCTTTCTTATATTGGTTATCTGCATCAAAGTGATGGAAAGGTTCGATTATTTGATGGAACGATTTTTTTTTTTTTCATGCGAATGTGTGTCCACTCTTTCCGTCTGCCTAGCATCTAGCACAACGCCACGAAAGTGCTCAAGATAATGTGAAAAAAAAAGTGACGTTCTCCTTGAAATCATACGACATATGTGAGGCATGCCGTCTGGATTGATTTTGATAATCTGGCCTCTTTTAAGTGAACCCAAATCTAAGAACAAGGGTGAGGCAATTGGGAAACTCCAACCGAAAATTGTATTACAGTGCTTGAGTCAGCGCTTGGTCTGGCTTCGAAGGGTTGGTTTTGGGAATACAATTTTCGGTTGGAGTTTTCTAATTGCCCCATTCCTATTCCAACCAGTCAGATTTCTGCAAGGGTTCACCTTTGATAAAAACATGGGTCTGTCTGTATAAATATATTGCCCAATGCTAAAATTATGCATGGCAACTCAAGTTTAATCAGTTCCGTGTCATTCAATTGAACTACCGAAGTGTCATAATTTACTATACAGCAGTGTCATGGGACTAGGACCGTACAAGGTTTATCTCGAGCACAATTAAGGCTTATCGCATAACTGATAAGCAAGAATGTCGCCATTTTTTTTAATAAACACCTAGCAATGCAGAACTTAAGTTTATCCCTGAGTCGCTAAAACGCTACATTCACACAATATTTATTATTTCTCATGTTTGGGGGGGACGCTAAGAGCACTTTACAATGAGCTTCAGCTATAAAGCGGCACCTACACCGACATGATGCTGGCAAAGAGAGGCTGCGACGGCGATGCACATCACTCTTGCCAAGTGCTCGACCTCATCTTATTGCGGTACATAAACAGGCGAGTAAGGCCAAATGCTTCTGTAGACAGTGCTAGGCAAACGTGCAAGCAGTTACTTTTGCGCTAACAGAATGGGTAAAACCGCCCTTTGAGCACTAGCATGACGTACGCGGACGTGCTAGCCTATGTGGATTGCAGACGACGCCGGCAGCAATCCACACTAGGTGCGCTTCAGCCAGTGGCCACCAGGTGCCGACTCCGCTTGATCTCCGGTAGAGTTACTATATATCCTACCTTTAGGTAGCATATACAAGTAGCATATACATATATACTTCAGGTAGCATATACATATGTACCTAAAGGTAGCATATACAGTAACTCTAATCTCGGGGTGAATGGTATAACTTAGATGGATGCTTGGAGTAAAGTGTCTATTTTAAACCGATAGTGAGCTGGGAATCTTTGTAAAACAAAATATTGAAATAGTTATGAGACTTGATGGGGTAGTGGTGCAAAAAAGTTTTTTTTTTTTCTTTTTGCGCCAGATGAAGGGTCAAGTCCTTATGAGGCTGCATAATGTATTGGTAAGCATGAGTGTTATGCGACAGATTGCGTGTTTTCAAAATGTATTATCGGTTGCTATTGTACCGTGATGTTGAGACACGGTATGAGCTTCTCGTCACCCGTTCTTCAATATGTCGAGACGTACCCACGGCAGCTTTGCATCACTGGTGACGCGCAAGCGGCTATTTTTTTTGCGTTCTAAAACTAAGCAGACCTCGGGCTTTGACACTCAGGCTTCTTCAGATCGGGGCGTACCCTAACCCTGCGCTATTGAACGAAACTTCTACCGAAATACAGCCAACTAATACATGTTCCTTCTGCGATGATATAGCTAACTTGGAACATATTCTTTGGCGGTGCCCAGCGTGACGCTGTGGGGAATTCATCTCGCCGTCCAAATGGGAGGGTGCTATTACGCGCTTTGGACTCGAACAACAGTTATGGGCAGTATACCGGGCCCGCGGCGCGGCAGACACACTTGGTCGTTCTGTTCCGACGAGTGAGCGGCCCGCAACGTGCTAAGGCGCGTTCCGAAAAACCAAGTGAAGTTAATCCATCCATCCATTACCTGACGTCATTGCATCTAGCCATACTCGTGTGTGAAGTCAGTTGATACTGCAGTCGACATCACACTGGCGTCGATGGCAGCAAATGATAGAACGGCGTGCATGCTATCAGCATGACATGGCACTTTTGATGGGGAATGAGCGAGGGCATTTTTCTACAAAGGAAACGAAAGCTGGTAAAATAGGGCCAATGATTAATTGCACCGAGTTATTTCCGTGTGCCAAATGCAATATATACTATTATTTTCCTTATTTATCAAGAAAAAATGAGTAATGGAGAGTCAAATCAGGCAAAGCTTGCACTAAGCCGCACAAGGCTTGAGACCGTGTAACTGAACTGACCCTGAAGAATTATCTGGTTGATTTTAGGCTGTTTCTAGGCCTAACAAGTGGATCAGTGCTGCTTCGAGGTTGTTGCTAGGCTCTAGGTCGTTTAAGTTGAGTCTTACCCCCGTATTCACAAACGCTCCTCGACTCAACTTTCACCCTTCACTTCACAGAGCGGCGCACTGCGCCGCTGCTCGGATGAAAATAACGCTGCGCTACTCAGGTACAGCAGCAAATTATACTGATATGCAGCGACTTTTTTCACCTAGAGATGGCGCTTTTATCGTCTTTCACAACAAGGAAGATTTGCAGAGATTGATGGACATCTGCGGTAATGAGGGAGATAGGTTAAATTTTAGATTCAGTAAGGAAAAATCAGCAGTCATGATTTTCAATGACAACGAATGTAGTGAGCTTAGAATACAGGAGGTCACGCTAGAGATAACAGATAAATACAAATATCTGGGCGTATGGATAAGCAATGGGACCGAGTATCTGAGGGAACACGAAATATACGTGACGACTAAAGGTAACAGGAATGCAGCAGTCATGAAAAATAGGGCACTGTGGAATTACAATAGGTATGATGTTGTGAGAGGAATATGGAAAGGGGTCATGGTTCCTGGGCTGACGTTCGGCAATGCGGTCTTGTGCATGAGATCAGAAGTTCAAGCAAGATTAGAAATTAAGCAACGAGGAATAGGTAGGCTTGCTTTAGGAGCTCACGGGAATACACCAAATCAGGGTGTACAAGGTGATAGGGATGGACATCATTTGAGGGCAGGGAAGCTAGCAGCAAGATAAAATTTGAGACGCGATTGAGAGAAATGGGGGAAGAGCGTTGGGCTAGGAAGGTTTTCAGCTACTTGTACATGAAGAACGTTGATACAAAATGGAGGAAGCGAACCAGGAAGTTGACTGGTAAATACTTAGAAAACAGCAGGTGGCCAAACCAAAAAGAACTATCGGTTAAGAAGAAAGTGAAGGAAACGGAGACTGACATGTGGAGAATGGGCATGATTAAGAAGTCCGTACTAGAGATTTATCGAACATTTAAGCAGGAAATTGCCAAGGAAAGGATCTATGCTAATACTCGGGGTAGTTCTTTACTGTTTGAGGCTAGGACGGGAGTACTGCGAACCAAGACGGGCTAAATACGAAGGGGTAGACACAGTATGCAGTGCGTGTGGAGAGGAAGAAGAAACTGCCGAACACTTGATAATGTTCTGTAAAGGGCTTCACCCTATAGTTCAGGATGATGGCGCAGAGTTTTTCAAAGCACTGGTGTTTAGGGACCGGGAGGGCAAAATAAACTTTAAGCGGGTAGACTTAACTTGAAGCAGGTTATCTGATTGGTGGCTAAAGTCAAGGCACAAGTGAAAATTAAACTCTTCACTGCAAAGTACGAATCCTCAAACTCACTTTTTAAGGAAAAAAAAATATAGTTTTTGGTTCATTAGGTAGTACGACTTGGTGGCGCTAGCCACCGCCCGATCTAAAGGGTACAGCCATATCCATCCATCCATCCATCCATCCACGAGTGAAGGTGGAGCGTTGAGTGAAGGGACGTTCTAGAATACGGGCCTTAGTGAAGAGAGGTTGGAGTCGACCCGCATTCAGTCGCACCCACCACATGGGTGTCCGAACTCCGGAGACGTAACTGAAGCCGAGCGTTCGCACCTCGTATACCTACTCGCACTTCGTCGTTGGTAAATGCTTTTCATCGC